TCTGATACCACATGTAAGATTTAATAATACATGTAACCATAATAATAATGCGGAATTAAACTTTACAGGATCTTGAATTCAATACAACTCAAGAATAAAACGAATATACCTTTGTCAGCCATTGAATTAGAGAATTTGAAAAAATACCCCTTAGAGTTTAACCTTTAATTTTGGCTCACCTTCTTCTCTCTGTCTCTTTTAATTAGGATGACTATAAAACTTAAAGTGATGGAAAAAATACTCATGATATGAGAAGGGGAGTCACCCATCCTTATATAGAGGATGGAAGAGGGCCAGATAAACTCTATCAGAAGAATTCCTAATCCATCAAGGTTTCCTTCTTATCTTAGAAGAGTGATTATATTAAAATTCTATTTACTGAACTTTATACATAATATTGGCTTTATCTAATTGTGGAGTCCAAATAAATTAAAACATGTAGAAAATATGTAGGCTATTGGGCCACATTAGAAAAATAAATCTAACAAAAAATAGTTGATAGTAGTGGTTTTATAGGTGCTTATTTTTATTTTTTATAAGTTAAGTGTAATGGTTGTGGAGTTTTCGTTCAGTATTTAATAGGGAGATTTATTAGAAAACTATTTTTTAAGTGTTTATATTTTAATTAATTCATAAGATATTATTGTATTTTAATAAATCTTATTATTTGAACATTTCATATATCAAATCTTAATTCTCATATTTAAGGTATTTTATGGACATTTCTATTCTTACTAATATTTTTTGAATGGTTAGCAATTTAGTGATGTGAATATTCATATTTTACAATGTGAATATTCAAATTGACAGTGTGAACATTCATATTGGCATATTAACATTCATATTGATGATGTGAACATTCACATCACGGAACATTCACACTGTAAATGTGAATATTATTAGGGATATTTTGATAACTATGTCATCCATAAAACTTATTAGAACATAAGAAAATAATGTAGAATAAACGGAACATAAGTGAAAAAAAATTTATGAAACAGTGTCCTTATTTAATACACGTAACAATTTAATTGGAATATGTTTTTAAGCTTTGATGTTGTTTTGCCTTTGTGTTACCTTTTTGATATGTTGTGTATAGGGGTGTGTGCAGTACACTTTGGATGGTTTAAAAGTAAAATTATAAATTAAATTGTGAATAGTGGATTGATAAATAACTAATTGTGGTTGTGGTTGCAGTGATTTTAGTTCACTAGTTGATTGAACAATTAATGTTCTTAAGCAATTATCAAGTATTTGAATAATATATAACACTAATTTGTATAATATTTTTCTCTCTATATATAAAAACTAATTTTATATAATATTTTTCATATATAATTACTAATTTGTAATAAATTTTATATTTAAATCTCTCTTACACTCATTTTTATTTTGATATTTTATTAAAAGTTAAAAATATATATGTGTTAATTATAGTAGAGCCGAGCGGTTTTTCGAAAGCAAATTATAAATTTTAAAGTTTAATCTGCGGTTAACAGATAGATCGGTGTGGATTAATATAATTTTAGTGGGTTAGACGGTATTTTTGCACAACCCTAATTGTGTATGTACTCCTCATGCTCTATTTTACATCAATAAATTTTTTATTTTTTTATTGATTAAAAATAAATAAATCACTTGCTGGTTGAAGCTCCTTGTAAAACATGTGACATAAATGGCAATTGCATCCTTAAGAACAATCGTTTGAACTCATGACGATGCTTGTAAGTTGAATCATAATCAAGGACAGATCCAATATTCTTGCATAGGGGCAAACCTCAAGGCCAGCCCTGTACATGATCCAATGAATATTTAGGCCAAGTTTGAGAAGTCCCAAATAATTTATCTTTTTATTTTTTTATCTTTTTTTTATCATATCACCTTTCTACTTTTCTACACATCTTTTCGTAAAAAGATAAAAAGTGCACTTATTTAGGTCATTCCAAACAACCCCTTAAAGCTTCGTTTGGCATTAGTTACTCTAGCTAACTTTTTTGTATTGGAACTTTTTTAGCCTCGTTCGGTTTTTGTTTTTGGACTTTTTTGACTTTTGTGAGAAAAAAAGTGTAATGGTTATAGTCTAGATGTGGCATTTTATCTTATTGAGTTATATAGTCTAAATGTCTTTTTATGCTTTTTTTAACCCCAAAAATGTGACATTGTGTACTTTTTGTCCTAATCTCCTAATACCCGAAAATAAGACAAATATTATCTCTAATTCAAAAGAACAGTGTCCTCGAGTTTTTCGAGTCCAAAGTGAATTTTCAAGTTAGGGCCTTTTATATAGAGATGTAATCGGTTCAGTACGATATGTATTTAGGTAAAAATTACACCGAATTGATAATGTCGGTTTTATTATTTTGAACACCGATACAGACCGTTTCTTACATCAAACCGAACCAATTGAAACGGTTCGGTTTTGTGCAGTTTAATCGGTTTAGAATTTTTTAAACTTGAGCCACTTTTAAATATAATCATTAATCTATATAAAAATATGAAATTAATTATTTGTCTACCATTTTAAACATATCAAATCCATCCATTTAATACATACTTTTTAATTCTTAAATTAACAAAAATAAAAAAAGTTTAAAAATACTAAGGTTTCAAGAATAATGAGTTAGAGTTAAAATTATATATAATAAGAGTTTACAAACTTAAATTATAAAGATGATAAAGTTAATTAATTAATGTTAATAATTTATTATACTTATTAATATTATTAGATTATTAGATTATATATATATATATATATTATAAATACAATATAAATATAATATATATTAAAGCGGTCGGTTTCGGTTTAGATCGGTGCACAAGGTGCTTAAATCGATACCGAACTGAAAACCGAAAAAATTCAAATTTTAAAACCGCACAGACCGATTCTTATTAAAAAAACAGACCAAATATAGTCGGTTTGGTCTGGTTCAATCGGTTTAGTCGGTTTTTTAGGTTTTTCTTACATCCCTATTTTTATATCTCATACCAAAAAATAAATAAATAAATAAATAAATAAATAATAAATAAATAATAATAATAAATGAATGAAATTTGTTAATGAAACAAGTACTCATTTTTTTTTTCTAGTATCCACACAAAGTTTGTTGAATATGATTACTAAATCCAGGTACATAGACTAAAATATGGAAGAGTAATAAAAAAGATAAAATCTAGATTTGTTACTCCATAGTTTAGAAAAATCTATTTAACAACAACAACAACAACAAAATTCTTCAAAATCAAGATGAAATCTGATCGTCAAATATGAATTACAAACAAGATCAAATGGCAAATCGTACATCAGAAAATAAAATCTGAAAGTCACAAATCTCAAATAAAAAATCTTAATCTAAGGAATATATTTTATTTACCATAAATGAAAATCTTTGAAGGACCAAGAACAGGTCGGCTCTGACTTTTTCGGGACCCAAAGGGAATTTTTAATACGGTGGCCTTTATGCATATTGTTTTTAAAAAATAATAATGTGTCTAATTGTTTTTTGGGGTATTTGACAATATTCGTAAAAAGGTTACTTCCGGTATATATGTCTATTAAAATTTACTTAAATATATACTAAAGTTTACAATAAGAAAAACGACGAAAATAATCTAAAATGAAGTATTAAATAAAAAGTAAACAAAATGTAACAAAAATCACTTAAATATCATTCTTCTTGCATTTTTAACGGTAAAATTACTAACCTAGTTCGCACAATCCAACTTATAAGCTAAATCATTTTTGATGGATAAAATTGCTAGTTCATTTAATTTTTCATTTGGCATAGTTGAGTAAATGTAAGATTTAATCAACTTTAATTTGAAAAGAGTAACTGCAAGTAGTATAATTAATCATATTCTATATATAATCCACACATTTGGAAAATAACCAATCAATAATTTCAAACAATTCACCACATCAATTAGTTTTAAATCATAATTGAATTTTTGGGCTTTTTTTTTAGTTAATTTTCCGAGGCCCAAAGCGGTGGCTTTCCCAGCTTGTACCCAAAGCCGGCCTTGACCAAGAATCAAAAAAGTTGAGTTAAAGAAAGGATAGGGCTCCAAGTAGAGTTGAAAATGAGTTGAGTCAAGCACATTAGTAAGTTGTTTAAATTTGACTTGAACATTTAACGAGCTCCAAAATATATTCAAGCCTGACTTATTTATCTAATGAGTTGATCTCAAGTGAGTTTTTAATGAGCCAAACACATGTCGAGCTCGAATAGCTTGATTGTTTATAGCCTATGTAAGTTTATCGAGTCACGCAATAGATTGTTCATCAAATTTACCTTAAAAACTTAATGAGTTGAAACTTATCTATAAACTCAACTTATTTACATACCAAGCCAACCTCAAATGATGTTTTGATGAGTCAAGTTGATAACATTGTCTCATTTAACCGCCATAGCTCTAAGGGGATTTCTCTATATTGTTTAAGGGCAAAGCACAAACTGACAGACAAGATTGTATTATGCAGTGCTGTTGATGTATTGATAGTGGACCTCATTTCTTTCTTTAGTTGCTGGGATGTTTTCTTTCTTTCTTTCTTTCTTTATTTATTTATTTTTTATTTTTTATTTTTTTTTTTTGAGGGGGAGGGGACATTTGCAGTATGGGTCTTTCAGCCAATCTATGAATATTTAATTTTGGGTCATGTGTAAGTGTCGAAAATATTTGGGCGTCCTGATTTTGTACTAATTTTGGGAGGTTCCAAAGTGATTGCAAATTTGTTAAGATTATGTTTTTTTTGGGTGAATTGTCAAGATTATGTTATTCTTAATATAATAAGAGACAAAAGCAAATTTGTATGACATTACAGCAAAAATATGTGATACACATACATAGAGAGATCCAAGAGCCAAATATCACAAGATCCTTGAAAATGCCAACCTAGGTACAAGAGTGAGATAGAACAATTGAAACAAAGCACTAACCAAACTAAGTGCTTCAGAAGATGACACATACATAGAGACACCTGTGTGCAGCCAAAAACACACCTGTCAAACACTTTGGTTTTGAAGGAGTTGCCTTTTGATCTTGTTCAACTTGCCAAGTACTTCTTTAATTTGAATTCTCTCTGCCACTAATTCTGTGCTACACTCCAAACCCAACTCCAAAATAGTAATAAGATTGCTTTGGGTAGCAACCATGTCTCCTTCATTTTGTGTCCTCAATAATCCACTATCCACTACTTCCATAACTTCATCAGGAAGCCATGTGCTCACCCATTGCCTTAAACTCCTCTCGTCGGTGAACATTTCCTCCGTTGGTTTCTTTCTTGTAAATGTCTCCAAAAGCATTATCCCATAACTATATATATCACCGGTTGTCGACACTCTTCCTTCAGAGCCATACTCTGTCAAATTTTTTTAAAGAAACATTTCTACATGTATATACCGAAGGAAAAGTAAAATATAAGTGAATAAAACATTTACCCGGTGCAATGTAGCCAAGTGTGCCTAAAGTGTTGGTTTCTGTTGCAGTCTTGGTTTCGGCTAAAATTTTTGCAATACCAAAGTCAGCAACATATGCAATCATATCTTCGTCTAGAAGGACATTGCTAGGTTTCAAATCACAGTGAACCACAGGCTCTGATTGACCATCATGGAGATATTCCAAAGCTAATGCCACATCAATCATGATACTCACCCTTTGAAAGAGATTAAGACAATAGTTATGAGAATATAACCACTTATCAAGGCTTCCGTTAGACATGTATTGCAAAACCAAAGCTCTTAACTCAAGGATTGATCATGTAGTTACGACTCTAACAAGATTTCTATGGCGCGTTGGTATACAGAACCATAGCTTCCTTCTCCAAGCAAGTTGCCTTCACAAAAGTCAGTTGTTGCTCTCTGGAGCTCCTGATATGATATCTTTTTGTGCTCTATTTTTGCACATAAATCATTTGAATGCTGACTACAAACATTCTTTCTGCGATGCCTTTTCATAATCCATAGAAGAGAAGAAAATATTACTAGCATTGCAACGGCGGGAACAATGTATCGAAGCAGAACATCTTTTGTCCTCAACCTTTGGGAACTTTGGTTTGCGCAAGGTCGTACTTGCAAAATCGAGTTGCCACAAAGTTCTTCCTTCTCTATGAAAGAAAGTGCTGTGAGACTTGTGAATGGTCCTTTACTTGGAATCTCCCCTGATAGCTTATTGCAAGATAAATTTAAGAATTCAAGATGTGAAAGTGCCTTGATAGACTTGGGTATTGGTCCAGACAAATTGTTGAGAGAAAGATCCAAGAAATCTAATGTTATCAAATTTCCTATTGAGTTTGGAATGGGTCCTGAGAATGAATTCCTTGACAGGTTTAGAGAAGTTAGGCTTTGGAAGGACCCAATAATTCTTGGAATGTTTCCCGAGATTCCAAGATAAATCCATGCTTTCCAATACTTTAAGGGCTTTGTGTGGATCTAGGCTTCCATTTAATGAATTGAATGATAAATTCAAGAGCCTCAGATTTTCAAGGTTCCATAAACTCGATGGTATTAATGTCAGTTTATTGGAACTAATGTCCATCACTTGCAAACTACTAAGCTTTGTTATGCAACTCGGAATCGATCCAGAAAGCTTATTCTCCTGGAGATAAATTTTGTCCCAAGTTTCTCAAAAGGCAAATCTCACTTGGAATTGATCCGTGAAAGTTGTTAGCACTCAAATGTAATCTTTGAAGTGTCTCTATTCCTCCAATAGTTGAAGGGATGTTCCCATTCAGATTGCTTCCTGCTAACGAAAGTTCATTCAAATTTCTCAATGAACCAATCTCTTTAGGAATTTGACCAATTAATTGGCATTCGGATACATCAAGCACTTGCAAGGACATCGAAAAATTCCCAATAGAATTGGGTATTGTGCCACTAAATTTATTTTGTCCGGCCAACAATTTTTGCAAGGAAGTGCAGTTTGTCAAAGCTGTGAGAAAACTAAGTTGGGTACTTCCTGGTTCAGTTGTCACTTGATTCTCATCCAAGTTCAGCCTTTCAATGAGTTTTAGATCGCCTAAACTTTTGGGTATTGATCCAGTAAATAAGTTAGCAGCTAGAAATAACCAAGTAAGCTTAGAAGAATTGGACAAATATAAAGGGATTGCTCCAACTAATCGATTGACTTGTAAGCCAAGGATTTCAAGATTAGGAAGCCATAGCCCTGTAGTAGTTGGATGATTTCCAGAAAGGGCATTAAGATTCAAGTTGATTTCAATCATTGAAGACTTGTTAAAAATTGCACAAGGTATTGAACCCGTGAGCTGATTGGCTTGACAGTATAATCCATTTAGATTTGGAAGTAGTGATAGTTCAATTGGAATGTTTCCATAAATGTTGTTAAATTCTACTCCAAACCATTCTAAGCTAATAGTGTTGCCAAAGAAAGGTGGAATGGTACCTTGTAGGTTGTTTCGCCCGAGAAAAAGAGTACGCAAAAAGGGTAGCGTACTCAACTCTTTTGGTATGTTGCCACTAAAATTATTAGCTGCAAGAGATATAACTTGAAGATTCTGACACCGGTGTAACTCCACAGGGATGCTTCCTTCCAACGTGTTGAATTGTACTATGAGTATTATCAAACGACGCAAACGTTCAAATTCATTTGTGAGATGACCATTAAAGCTATTGTTGCAAATATCGAGCACTTGGAGGAAGGGAAGGTTTCCAATATGAGGAGATATGGTGCCTCGGAGACCCATGTTGCCAGGGCGCAAACTTGTGACTCTTTGCCTACGTCGGCTACATAAGACCCCTGCCCAATTATAGAAATTGGTTTCTTTTGTCTAGTTAGTTGACACATTATTTGGATCGTGGTCAATTGAGGACTTGAAGGCAAGGAGTGATAATTGATCAGTGTAGTTTGAGGAATAAATGGCTAACCCAAACATGCATGAATGCACTACTAGAGCTCCCAGAAAGAAAGCAATGTACAGGCTCTTCATGGACATGAAGAGAGAAGAAAGATATGAATCTGTGAAAATGAATGATCACCGTATATATAGCCCAATTCAATTATGAGGAAATTGCAAATCAGGATAGTTTGAGAAAATAATTATGAATTTATGAAAAAAATTATAATTATAATTATTAATATTTATAAAATTTATTACTGATGAGCAATTATTTTTTGTAAATATCGTGTGATATTTCCCCTTCAATTATCTTGCAATAAATAGCCAGTGTGACTTTGCATATTGAAGTCCATTTGAATTCCAATCAATCATAAATAATGCTTATTATTAGACAACAAATTTAATACGGATGAGATATTAAACAAATTTTTGGCTGACTTTGTTGACAACATTTTAAAATTATTGTTTTACAAATAGTGATGCTAGAAACTTCTCGCATTTATGTAGATAAGCTACTTTTGGTGGATTAATGGTCATTGCGGTACTAAACGTACGGTAGTGACTGTTATACCTCAATTTGAGGTGTATTATGATCTTATTTTTATAATTCGAATTGTTCATTTTGTAAGATTTGTTAAGTACTTCGTACTTATCAAAAATTATATTAATTGGATATCAATAACTATATAATCGAATTGCATTATTTTTATGCTATTTTTCAAAAGAAAAACTTATTATTTATGTTTTTGATTATTGATCATATAGTTATTGATATCCGATTAATATGATTTTTGGTAAGCACGAAGTACTCAACAAACCCTACAAAATGACCGGTTCATATCGTAAAAATAAACCCATAATACACTTTAAATTGAGGCACAACAATGCTGGATTAAGGGTCACTGCTGTGCTAAAGGGTTTCTAATTTGTATACTCACTCCAACAAATTAAGATTTTAAAGATACAAATTTAAGAATAAGATTACTTTTTTGGGATGAAATATTTTTTATTATCAAAGTGTCATTATTATTTTTTTTAGACGAAATTGGACATTTAGTGATAAATTACTATAATTCTGGGACCAAATTTTTTGTCTAAAAAAAAAAAAACCTTTTTTAACTAAATTATTTTTCCCCCTAAAATACATTTATTTGCTACATTTTTAAATTTTTTATCACAATTTTTTTATTTTTTTATTTTTTAACATTTTGAGATGACTTTTTAACGACTATCCTCACGACGACAGAAATTGAACTCCGTATATTTTTTGCAACAAAATTCACGTTTGGGACAAAAAAAATTTAGTTCTTAAGACTCTTATTTGTTATAGCGGCGTTTAAGAATCAATATATTAGTATAACGGTTAAACTTCTCGTAAGTTCACATCTTAATTTCAGAGAATTTGAAGGGTTCGTGGTATGCATCACGGGTCTCATTTCAATTATTCAAATTATTCATTTTGTGAGACTTTTAATGTATATCATTAATGAAAAAAATTAGATCGATCTAATAATCGTAATCCTTTTTCTTCTTATCGCATCTGTCTTTGAAAAAATGTAACAACAAATATAGACGATTCTTTTTTTTTTTTTTTTTGGAAACAAACAATATAAAATAAAAAGATTACGATTATCGAACTAATCTAATTTTTTTTATGAATGATATATATATATATATATGAAAAATTTTACAATATGAACAATTTGAATTATCAAAATAGGATGTATAATGAACCCTACAAACCCATTAAATTCTCATGAGTTGAGATATAAAGTTGAGAGAAGTTTAACTCTTAGTATAATAGTGGAAGAAGTTTGAGTTTTCTAAATTTAATCGGCCTCATTTGGGATTTTAGTACTTTTTTGACTTTTTATGAAAAAATATGTAAAAATAAATAAATAAATAAAAAGAGTAATATGTCAATTTATAGTGACTTTTTAACTTTTAGGTAAAATTAAAAATTACCACCTAACTATCCAACCCCTAATAATTGCCGCTGAATGGTTGCATCACACATTGAATGTATGTATTAATTTAACAATTAAATTCATTATGAAATAAGGCCCGTTTGTTTTCCTCCATTAAGTCCGGAGTGGACCGTGAATAATGAATAGTCAAGCAACTCTATGTTTGTTTTGGAAATGGAGGTATGGATTGGTAGTCCCTTTCGGATTATGAAAGGCCTCAATGATCCAGATTGGTAGTTTGGGTGAGGAGGTAATATTAAAAAATAATCTATTTGGCTTAGGGTGTTACCAGTCGTCGGCCCAGACGATCGGCCGATCAACTAGTCAACATTTTTTTATTTTTTTTAGCTTGTTGGGAATTTTTTTTTGAACATTAATTTTTAATGTTTTTGTATTTTTTGTTAAGTAAAAATCATAATTTTATTTTTGTTTTATTATTTTATATAAAAATAATTTAACAATCTTCTCACTAACAACTATCATCAAAACAAACACAATTCTACTAATCCGCTCACTAACAATCCTCTCACTATCAATCCCCTCACTATCAATCATCTCTATTTTACCTCTGAAAACAAACGAACACAAAGCCAATTCAATTTATTAAAAGATATAGTCCAATGAGATATTTCAAAAAAAACTCTAAGGACAAGGACAAGGACTTGGACCCAAACCCAGACTTGGATGGTTACATAATTGGAATTAAATTTATGTAGTATAAAATTCATATAAAGAATAAATTTAAATTATAAAATAAAGATTTTGAATAATTTCTAAGTTAAATGGCAGCGGGCCGGAGATTACACTCTCCGTTCCTGATCCCCGAAGCTAAAAAAATCTCCCGGCCCCGATCCCCGACGGGGAACTTATCTCCACCCCCCTCCCCGCCCCCGCCCCTAATGGGGATCGGATTTCCTCGACCCAAAAAATCCCCAACCATTTTTTTTTTTTTTGAATTTTGCATATCTCATTTTATTTATTTATTTATTTATGAGAGGCAAATAAAAATAATACATATAAAAGCATAATGCAACAATGTCTAAACATAAACATTCAAACAAATATGCAGCATAACAGCACAAGATAGAGTAGCAACAGCACAAAGGGTCATCTCACACTCAACCTAGACATGAGCAACATAATAGCATAAGGCCTGTAACAAAAGAATCAATAATTCATGCAACATATATAGGACAATTAACAGCACAACCAATAGCATAAGACCTGTAACTGAGCACAAAAGAAAATATAGGAGAAATAACCAAAAAAACACTTAAACAATATAGAACTCTCATCTCTCAACCCACAACCAATAAATCCCTCAAAATAATCCATGCAACATAATATATCAAATGTCTAACCAAAAACCCAAAAAAAAATAAAAATAGTACCATTAGTCTATTACAACATGAAACAATAGTTGTTCAAATAAAACATATAACATCAATATGACAACAATAAAACAACATTGTTTCTCCAAAAATCTGATATAACCACAACTGTCATCGTCTCCTTCAACTTGAATTCCTGTTAAATAACAAAAGGGGAAAAAAAATCAAGACTAATAATAAGATGTAAAAAATGTTAACAATTAAAACAAAAAAAAGATGGATGGCAACTTACACAAAAGTGCCACATGAGTCATCCAAGTCAAACTCATCATCATCATATATAGTCGTATAGCCCACTGATTCCAATGTTGAATTTCCTAAGAAGTAAAGAATATAAATTAAGTATTGAATTATTCCATGGTAATATAAAATTGAAATAATAATATGTAAATTTACTTGAGTACCTTTCATCTCTGCAGCCCACAACCAACTTTGTGCACACATTAATACTTCTAATGTGATTGATGAAGTCCACTACGATGTGGACTCGCCAACCTTCCACTAGTGCTAAATGCTGACTCAAAAGCAACGGTGGATACAAGAATAGCTAAAATATCCCTAGCTATTGCCTGTAAGGTCGGATACTTTGGTCCATTGGCTTTCCACCAATTCAAAACATCAAAACCTGAAGTTCTTGGCAAAACATCATCTTCTAGATAATGGTCAACCTTGATCATACATTCTTAATTTTTTTACTTCTCTTTCTACTAGTAAACATATCATACTCTGAAAGGGTCTCTCAAACAATTTCTAGATGGATAGAAGATTCACTAACAACATCGATCTCCATACCAACTCGATTCTGATACTCGTGCAACAAATCATAACAAATCTGACAAACTCTATCAATTTCCTCTTCGGCTTTGTCTCCATAAAGTTTTTCAAAACAAAACTCGAATACACTCGTCTTGTACCTAGGATCAAGTACAACAGCAACTCCAATAACACCATGTATCAATATTTATCAATTTTTTCCACCATTTTTTATACCATTGTTCTAATCACTTCAATTTCACAAGAGAGCCATTGAGATAGTGTCAGTCTAATCTCACATAAAGCTGGGAAACAAACATTGGCTGTGAGATACTTAGTACCAGAAAATAACTCTCTAATAGAAAAAAATATCTTAAACCTCCCACTAATCTCTCTAGCAAACTCCCATTCTTCCTCACTTGGTACGGTCTTATATTGGGGCTCTCTATTTTTCAACCGAGAAAAGACATTCTTATAAAATAAGGTAGTTTCAAGCATCAAGTATGTTAAATTCCACCTAGTTGCACAATCAAGTCCTAATTTCTTAGTATGTGGATTACGCAATTGATTGACTGTTTCTTCAAATTTTTCTTGTCTTTTAGGTGTTGCTGTCCAATAAGCTACACTCTCCCGAATTTTCTCTATACCCACTCGTATGACATCCAGTCCATCTTTGACAATCAAATACAAAATATGCGTACAACAACGCATATGAAACAAAGTATCACTCAACAAAAGTGATGGATTACTCAACTTATCCATCAACATGGTAATCATGGCATCATTTGTGGAGCAATTATCAACAGTAACAGTAAAGATTTTTCTGTCAATATTCCAATCCATCATACAATCATGCAAAGTATCACAAAGAACTTCTTTTGTTTGTGGACATGGAACATAAATGAACCTAAAATACAATATTCACGAACAATTATTAATAACATGCAAATTGAACGGAATAAGGTATAACTTTTAAATGATTTGCACATTTACAAATATATGCCTTAAAATGCGACATTGCAATGTACATGAATCATCAATAAAGTGTGTTGTGACAACCATGAATCCTTTCTTTTGATTACTAGCAGTCCATATATTAGTTGTGATTTCCACCCTACTTTTATTATTCTCCACCAAACTCAATATCTTCACCCTCTCAGCATCATAAATCTTTAAAATATCACTCTTTATCATATTTCGAGAAGGTACTTAAACAATGGTTGGAGTGCCGCTAAATATCGTTTAAAACCAACATAATCTACGATACAGAGGAGATAGTCATGCAATATTGTGGCATGTGACAACTCTTTCCTAGCAAAATCTTGACCAAAAATATAAGAATTCATTTTTAGACTCTCTCTATTAAAGTTTTTAGTTAAAACTTTTTGCCTCATGTCCATCACTTTTTTCTTAGTATAACTCTTAAGCCATGTTTGTTTGGGTAGACATGAGCTTGGGATTGGACTAATAGTCTAATAAAATTATTAATCCGATATTTGGTTAAACAATTGAAGTACAGATTAATTATTTTAAACTTGACTATTAGTTAAGATAGGATACATAATCTAACGGATTCGTAGTCTTAGGACTATTAGTCATGGGAATGCTAATCCAGTCCGCCCAAACAAACATGGCCTTATAGTGATCATGCAAATGTCTAGTTCCATTTTTTGAATCACCTCCAATATGCTTATTACAATAATTACATATTGCCTTCCACACCCCATTGACTTGTTATTTCTTAAAGTGTTCCCACACAACACTAGGTTTTCTTTTAGTTCCTCCACAAGTATTAGACTCTTCTTCTAAATCAATTACATTTTGATTAAAGAGGGGAGACGGTAAGTTGGTAGCTGGTGATGATTGTTTTGAGGCCTCGCTCTCAACTGGTACTTGAGAGTTAATATCTAACATTTTTTACCTTTATAAAAATAACATGAAATAAATAAACAGAGGTAGCATTAGTGATTCCAAGCACATCCATTGTTTATACTAATCAGTGATTCCAAACAAACGTGAAATAGGATAAGATTGTGTAATTCCAGAATTATTAATCCCAAGCTTAATAGTCTCTCATGTAATCTAGTCCAATGAAACAAACACAACTTGAAAGCTAGTAGTACTAAAATGATAAGTAACAACAGTAGAAGAACAGTGGCAGATACTAAATCCATGATCCAAACACATCCTAAAAATCAAAACTTTAGAAGAACAGTGGCAGAGACTAGTGAAATTAAACTGTATCTCTTCTGAATTGGACTCAGTTTATGTGTATCCTTGACAAAATGAAAAAAATAAATAAATAATGGATTCAAGATTCTTCATTTTGGGAACCAAATAGAGATTATCAACACACATCCATATCAACACACATTGAGATTATCAACACACATCCATACCCTAGATTATCATCACACATTTTGGGACTCAGTTTATGTGTATCCATGACAAAATGAAAAAAAAAAAAGATAAGAAAAAAAATTGAGAAATTAGTGATTAATAATCAGTGATTCCAATCAACACACAGAAACACATCCACTGTTTATACTCACCAGTGATTCCAAAAAAAATCCAAAAATATTTTTGTACAAATTTCCAAATTGAAAATTGAGAAATTTACCTAATGGGGGATGGAAATGGAACGAATGACTGGTTTGAGGTTGGAGACGTCTGTTGTCTAGGGCATCGAACTCAACTGAGTAAAAAAAAAAAACAAACAAACAATAGACATAAGCATAAAAGATGAGATTTTAGAGATGGGTATTTGGGGAAATAAATTGATTACTTTGGAGATATCTTGTTCACCAGCAGCGACGCCTTGTTATGGCCTCGCTCATTGCAGATCTGAGTACTTGTTGTGGCTGAGATCAGAAACCCTAACCACAGTTCTCTCTCGCCAAAAACAGCAGAGGATGAGGGAAATCGGCGGTGATGAGAGAAGGGAAAGGAGGACAGTTGAGGAGGAGGGAGAGGAGGACGGCGGAGGGAGTGAGATCGGCGGTGATGAGAGGCTTTTAGAGAGAGAGATGAGAGGCGGTGTGAGTGTGAGTGTGTGAGGGAGTTGTGTGAGTTGTGTTTTAGGGTTTGGTTTGCTTTATATATATATATATATATATGGAGGGTATAATAGTAATTTTATGTCGGGGAAACTGGGACGTGGCTTGGGCCCGAGACTGGGGAATATATCACCGTCCCTGGCCCAAAATTTATCAGGGATTCAATTTCGAATAACACCCCCAGCCCGTCGGGAGTATTTTTCGAGAAAAACCTGTTCTAATCAGGGACGGGAGGCGAGTCTCCATCGGCTCGGGTTCAAATTGCCATCCCTATTGATAGTATTACTTTTTCGAAAGACGCATCTAAATGAGTGGTCACTCTTCTAATGAGTGTTCTGCCCGACTCCACTTTCGACTTATTTTAATAATTTGAATTCTTCATTTTATTGGACATGTTAAGAAAATTATTTTTATAAAAACAATTATTAGTAATCATATGAATGGATATTTTTGTTTTAAAAAAAAATAAAGAAATTACAAAAAAATAAAAAAATTAAGGTTTGACCCTTACCACAAAATAAATTCTGAATTTTTAATTTTATCAATTTAAATTCTAAACTTTTGATTTGTTTTCAATGAAAACTATTTGCCTATTTTTGTGAAGTAAAATCGATAAAAAAAAAAAGAGTATTGTAATTATTTAACTTGAAGAATCTAAAAATTCTGAGATATTGATTTGTGATTATGTTTCAATTTAAAACAATAAATAACAATCACAATCAAGACAAATCGACATAGCAATTTAACGTGAAAATAGCCACAATTGGAGCGTCTCTAATTGTGATAAAAAATCATGAGCCAAAGCCACAAAACAATAAAAATACATAAAGGAATTACACGAGAGTATTCTCAATTATCTAGCGAATCTACACTCAAATTGAACCAAACCCAATGTGCCTCTTCCACCACCATTTTCACCTCGGAATTGTCTTACCCAATGTTGAATCCACAACGCCGATGTGGAATTCACGACGATGAGCCACTCCGAAATCCACCAAAACTTCAGGCCCAAGTTCCCTAGAATCCACCGAAGAACAACTCTCTCTTTTATAGAACGATACAATAAGAACACTCTTGATGTTTTGCACATATGTAGTTTCGTTGATCAATCGATCACCTTCTATACATCAAGGAAAACTTATTAAAACAATCTCTAATAGAAACACTTTGGGCTTTTCTTTCTCTCTAAGATTTCTGGACCAGTTAAACCCTAAAAACAACAAACTGAGCAGAAAAATCTAGAAATCCCTAGATATTGATTTGTGATTTTGTACTTTAACCAGTAAATAGAAATCCTAAATCAAACAATCAAAGGAAATTGACACTACAATTTTACCATGGAAAAACCATAATTGAGGCCTCCAATTGTGAACCACGAGTAAAGTCACAAAAACATCGCACTAAAAAGACATAAAGGATTACACAAGTGACTTCATTACCTAGCAAATCTACGCCCAAAATCAAACTGAACCTAATGCCTCTTCTAGCCGTCTTCAACCTCGAAATTGTCTGCCCAACGTGAATCCACACGGCCGATGCGCGAATCACGACGACGAGCCACTTCGGAATCACCAAAGCTCAGGCCCAAATTTCCCCGAAATTCATCAAAGAAGAACTCTCTCTTTTTAAATATTGAAATGAAACAACAATTCTTTTGGATGTATACTTCTCACATGAGTTAAACCTCAACAAAACATCAAAGGAACTAGCAATGAAGCTCCAGGTTGAAAAATCCTAATATCCAAGAAAAAGATCTGGAAACCGTAACCCTAGAAATTGAATAAATGCTCAATTTATAG